GGACTAGCATTTGTAAGATTTCTCTAGTCTCATCTCAGTTCCATGGTTTAAAATATATATACATATTATTTCAGAGAGGAAGGGAGAGGGAGAGATAGAAGCATCAATGATGAGAGAGATTCATTGATCCGGCTGCCTCCCTAAAACAGATAATAGGTAGCTGGGGGGGGGAAGGAGACATATGTAATACTCTTTGTAATACTTTAAGCAATAAAACAAAATTAAAAGCAATATTTTTAAAGTAGAAATAAAAGGCACTTTAAAAAATAAAATAAAATAAAATAAAATAAAATAAAGGGCTAGAAATACTTGGTGAGCAGCAGAGGACTACACCGATCTTTTCTCAGGTCTTAAATCCCAAAGCATTCAATAGATTCAATAAAACATTTCTAAAATAATAAATAAAATTCCAAAGCTTTTCATTCTTCTCTGTAGGTTTTTCCTTCTTTCCCGGTAATTTTTTACTCCCCTTTAGAAAACCTCTAAGCTTTAACAGTTTTCTGAAAACATTCAGCATAAAATCTGCCATATCAAAGCAGAATGAGACCTCGTTTATCAGTTACCACTGAGAAATGAGGTGTTCTCTAGAGGAGCCAGAGAATAATATAACTCGAAACACACATCTAATTTAATTATTTTTTATGGAAGTCTCATAAATATATTACCTATTCTACTTTTTTAAACAAAATAAACCATAAATACTTTAACCTTGTAACCTGCCCTGTAGGTGCCTTCTTTACCAGGAGGTGATTTTATTTTTTAATAAATTTTATTGGTTTTTTACAGAGAAGAAGGGAGAGGATAGAGAGTTAGAAACATTGATGAGAGAGAAACATCGACCAGCTGCCTCTGCACACTCCCCACTGGGGATGTGCCCGCAACCAAGGTACATGCCCTTGACCGGAATCGAACCCAGGACCCTTCAGTTCGCAGGCCGACGCTCTATTCACTGAGCCAAACCGGTCAGGGCACCAGGAGGTGATTTTAAAGAACTCACAAGTAAAATGTGTGGTTTCATAGTCTCAGCAGCTCCGATTCTCGTTCAGCTTCCCAGCTCTGTTCACACTTGGGGTTCTCCACTGGGCCCCACTCCTAGATTCCAATGGACTTAGTCTCTGGTTGGCCTCCAGCAGCAAAGGTTTCAAAGCCCCCCAGTGGTTCTGAAATGCCAGGAGGAGGAGAACCACTGCCCTGCCTCTCAGCAAGGGGCCTCCGTTCTCGGTAACCACACTGGAGCAGTGGAGCCATGTCCAAACTCCCAGGCTAACTCACCGCCTCAAAGTCCAACAAGGCTCCGAGACGGAGCGTGTGTCTCACAGAGGCCCCGGTGCCCAGGGCGAGCCACAGTTACCTGTGATGATCCTGGCCACCCGGATACCTGCAGGGATGAGACTACCGTCCCGAGGCTGCGAAGCCTCAGGTTCTCCTGAGGGCCATGGATGATGAGGGGTGACTTGTGAGGGGAGAGCCTGTTGGGCCTCAAGTACTGAGGGCCTGGTGGCATAACTGTTGTTAGTGGAAACTATGGAGCTAAGAGCCCCGCCTTGGGGCTGATTTCAGGGCTACCCTCTTCTGCCTGCAGATCTGCCTTCCAACCTTGTTGTTACTGAACAGACAGGGAGACACAGAGAGACGGGAGCAGGAGACCGGGGGCACCAGGCAGCCCTCAGTGCTGCAGGGACACACCCAGGAGCTCTAGGCATAGCAGGGCCTGCAGGCGAAAATCGGGAAAGTGCTCACGTGATATTTTTCTAATCTCCTTTGCTAAGGGCCACCCTCTGCAGGATGTACAGAGAGTCGTGCAACATAAGGATGATGAGCACACCCACGGTCACAAACATCTTCCGTTAGGAGATCGCGTCAGGCCAGCCCAAAACTGCTCCTAAGCCTCTGACCCTCCCATGTTTCACCTCACTCTGCCTCTGAAAGGAGTCACTTTGGGCTTCAAGATGCCACCACTGCACCTCCTTGTGCATGCCCAGAACTTCACCGGACACTCAGAGAGCCTCGCCGTGCTCAGGTCAGTCTTAGGGGCTAAGACCCAGGTAAGAGAAGAACAAGAGCAAGACCTAGAAGCAGCTCTGCGGAAGCCGGGCTTGGCGCTCTGTGTCCTCATCTGACCGCCCACATCAAGTCAAGGAAACTAAAAATCCTCAAACACAACCTGACGTGCACATATTTAAATCACCTTCTTTCTGATGCACTGAGGTGACCTTCAAACATGTGGCCACCAGTGCACAGCGCCAGCTGGCACTCAGGCATGCTGACCAACCACAGTCTTGTCTCATGATGGCGCCAAGCAGAACACATTCTCAGATTCTGAGCCTGTGGGATGCCATGGAGGAGGCACCGAGGAACCCACCAAGAAAGCATGTTCTGTCCACCCCGAAGGGCGGAGCTGGTGAGAACCGTCCCCTGCCTTTTCACCCCGCACCTCTATTTGGGTAAGAATGTGGATGCCATGACCTCCCCGGTATCTTCTGGAACAAAAGTCCTTGGATTCCATGACAGAGGTCATTTGTGCAGGTACTCAGAAACAATATCACAGCAATGTCTGGATTAGCCAAAATTCATGCCACAAGGCAGCATACCTACCATCCGGGTCTTTAAAGGTCAAGGTGATGAATTTGCTGGCCACCATGAACATGAAAATCACCCAAAAGCATGCAGCCAACAGAAGCCACTGGTGGTGCATGTTGTCAAACGTCAGCCATTCAGTGATTCTTCCTGGAAAACAAGCGGAGTGCTCCTGCTGCTTACAAATACATCAATTAAACAAATGATCAGAAACACAATAGGGGATTCCAGTTCATAGCATCAGTGCAAATATTTTTAAAAATCCTTTTATTGGTACCATGGGTATTTTGACTCAGTCTTTAACTTAATATTTTATTTTTAATTAATAATAACTTCTCGATTTGGTAATTAAGTCAAAGGTAAAACACCTGGATGGAAAGGAGCCACTTCTCTCTGCTTTGGAACTTGTGATAAAATTTTACTTTTGCAGGTTTGCCTCTTGTCTGCTTTCTGGATCGGACTAACATCTAAATGTTTCCAGTCTCCTGTGCTGAGGATCGCCATCTGCAGGAGGCTGTGCGTAGTGTCGTGCAGAATAAGGAAGCTGAGCACACCCAGGGCCACAATCATCTTCTGTGAGGCAGCCCTCCTCAGGCCAACCTAACGCTGCTCCCACACCCCCAACATCTCCCCTGTGCCTCACCCTGCCTCTGAAGAGTCGATTTGGGGTTCAAGATGACCACCACTGCACCTCATTGCAGGTACCTAGCACTTCATGCATCAAAATGTTTCTCTTACCCAGCACCCACCAGGGCCTGGAAGCAGGTGGGCAAGAGGAGTCCTGCCCAGGGCTAGACCTTCGAAGCGGGCAGAGGCCACACTGGGCAATCACAAGCAGGCTGCTAAGAACCCTGATTTCCTGACGAGATGTAGCCACACCTAGAGAATCTGTACACAGACTCTGTACACAGGAGAAATGAACATCAAAACTTCTCTGTCTCCATTCACTTGCCTGCAAGGACCAGCGCAGAAACTGAGGGATGGGTGTTTTTCATGCTTTCGTTTCCCAGGAGGAATGCAGGTCACACAAGTCCCACTCTGCTGCAGGAGACAGATAAAGAACCAGGAAGTCAAGTCAGTTCTCAGCAAGAGAGACAAACATGCATGTTTCATTTCACCTTTAACACAGCGCTTCTTCAAGCCAAACCAAACCCTTTAAAGGGGCCATGCTGGCTGGGCTGTCTGCCAGATGGCTGAGGTCATCATCACTCGCCAGTGGTGAGAACTGGTCCTCTCAGCATGTGTTGATGGCAAACAGCTTCAGAGAGCTTCTCAACACGAGATGGGACGGAGCTCGGGGTGGACCCAGGGGATCAACTCTCTCCTTGTCTCAAAAATGTTTACGTCTTAGACTCTCACTGAGACCAGGCATCTGAAACCCAAAAGTCCCCCACCATGTGGTTACCCAGCCTACACCTCACGCCCTGCAGCGGGGAATTCACCACCTAATGTGCAGCCTTTCGCAGGTGGCTTGTGCATCACCTTCTGTCATCCTCAGCTGCCCATACATTAGGCCCAGTGTGCTTCCTGAGGCCCCCAAGCAGGGGACCAAATTAAACAGATTAAGCAAAAACACAAGACACTCAGTTAGGTCTGAATTTCAGAGGAACAATAAATGAACTTTTTAGTATCAATGTGTCTCAAATAGTGCATGGGATATACTTACACTAAAAGAAGCTATTTGCTCTCTCTGAATTTCAAATTTAACCGGGTGTTCTGTATTTTATTGGGCAACACTACCCAACAAAGGGAATGCCACTCCCTCTCCACCTGCTTGAAGCCAGCTGGCCTTTCCAAGCCGAGTCCCCTTTCTCCTCTGTCATCATCTTTTGAGACAGCACTGCACAAGCCAGAGAGACCTGGCTGGGCCCACCACTCACTGGCTCTGAGACTTAGCAAGTGACTTAGCCTCTCTGAGCTTGGCTTCCCATCTCTGAGACCAGGCCTTCCTTCCTGGGTGGTCATGGGATTAAGTGTACCCACCTGGTTTGGAGCAGACCCCCTACAAACGGGAACTGGCTAACACCTCAGCACCCTGTGACTTTCTGATTTAATCAATATACCCTTCTAAGGGTGGTGGTGGGAAACTGTTGTGACGGGCTGCTCTGCCCCAAGATGAAAGGAAAGGGAAGGCCAGACTCAACCCAGGCGACTCAAGCTACTAGCCCTTCCTTCTAAAGACAAGTGAGGCATAGACTGTGCCCAGCAGCGCAGGGTACCACACTCCTGAGTCCACTAAGCTTGTCCTTCCAAGACAGTGACACTCAGTAAAGTCCATCCCCATCGGCGGATGCCCCAGTGAGAAACCCCAGCTGTAGCCTTTTCTAACAGAGGCAACGAGGATAGTGTGGACTGGGGAGTGAGTACAGAGAAAGGAGATAGGAATTCAGCAGGTGGCATGCAACCTAAGCAGAGAGGCATCTGCTCCTGTGCACTGGTTCTCAGGACGATTTAGAGGCGGAGGAAGAAGGCCGATGCTGAATGGCCTGGAGCTTGCAGTCCACGCTTTGTTAAGTGCCGTGGCCAGTGAACACAGATGAGGGAATCCTTCTCATATGCACACACACTTCCATGAACAGCAGGGATCACAAAGACCTCTTCACTGCCCACTCTCAGCTTCTTGCTCTGAGACCCTGTGTACCTCCTGGGTCTCAGGCCCTCACACCAACCCAGCATCAGGCCCACCCCCAGGAGGGTTTCACAGTTTAACTTTCCAATGGGAACTAGGTTTTTGAAGGGGTCTAATCTGAGTCCACCCAACAAGCTCACCGCTAAATCAAAGCATGAAAATGAAGAACACACCTGCTTTCCGGGAAGCCCAGTGGCTTAGGGGTAGCATTCTCCATCTGGCAAAGTTGTGATGTGAGATTTGCACGATCCTGAAGCCATGCTCGCCTTCCTAAGTCTTGGGTTTTCATTTAAAGTCAGGAGCACCTTGCTTCTTCCACCCAGGCCTGGGGCGGGGGCAGGATTTGGTCTACTCTCTTCTTCCCTGAGCTGGGTGGCTGGGGGTTAGTCAACGATTAGCTCTCTGGGCCCCATTTCCCATCTATAAGGATAAAACAGCCACCTGCATACTGTCCTGTGTGCTGTGAGACAGAATCTGCCTCCTCTAAACTTGTATCACCCGCCCAGCCGGCATGGCTCAGTGGTTGAGCATTGACCCATGAACTAGGAGGTCATGGTTCAAATCCTGATCCGGGCACATGCCAGGTTGTGGGCTCGATCCATAGTAGGGAGCATGCAGGAGGCAGCCAATCAATGATTCTCTCTCATCATTGATGTTTCTATCTCTCTTCCTCTCTCAGAAATCAATTTAAAGAAAAACATATTTAAAACAAAGGCTATAGTAAGAGACAAAGAAGGACACTACATAACGATAAAGGGCGCAATCCAACAAGAGGATATAATCCTTGTAATCATGTATGCTCCCAACATAGGAGCACCTAAATTTTAAAAGCAAATTTTGATGGATGTAAAGGGACAGGCTGACAGGAACACAATCATAGTCGGGGACTTTTATACCCTATTCTTCCAGACAGGAAATCAACAAGGAAAGTGTGGCCTTAAATGGCACACGAGACCAGCTGGATTTAACTGACATCTTTAGAGCATTTCATCTCCAAGCAGGAGAATATACATTCTTTCCAAGTGCACACAGAATATTTGCTAGGATAGACCACATGTTAAGAGACAAAATTAGTATCAATAAATTTAAAAATTCTGAAATTATATCAAGTATATTTTCTGACCATAATAGTTTGAAACTAGAAATCAACCACAGGAAAAAAACTGAAAAACTGAAAAAGACATGGAGGCTAAATAACATGGAACTAAACAATGAATGGGTTAACAATGAGATCAAAGAAGAAATCAAAAGATATCTTGGGCCCTGCCAGCATAGCTCAGTGGTTAAAGCATCAGCGGTCACAGGTTTGATTCCCTGGGTTGTAGGTTTGATCCTTGGCCCTAGTCAAGGCATGTGCAGGAGGCAACCAAGTGCAGGAGGCAACCAATTGATGAGTCTTACTCACTTTCTCTCTCCCCCTCCCTTTCTTTTTTCTTCTCTTCCTTCTACTCTAAAAAATCAATGAAAAAAATAGCCTTGGGTGAGGATTAACAAACAACAAAAATCAATGGAGCCCTGACCGGTTTGGCTCAGTGGATAGAGCGTCGACCTGCGGACTGAAGGGTCCCGGGTTCGATTCTGGTCAAGGGCATATACCTTGGTTGAGGGCACTTCCCCAGTAGGGGTTGTTCAGGAGGCAGCTGAGCGATGTTTCTCTCTCATCAATGTTTCTAGCTCTCTATCCCTCTCCCTTCCTCTCTGTAAAAAAATCAATAAAATATATATTTTTAAAAATCAATAGAAAAAAATATCCTCAGGTGAAGATTAGCAAATTACAACAAAAAAGATACCTTGAAACAAATGAAAATGAGGACCCAACAACCCCAAATCTGAGACACATCAATAGCAATTCTAAGAGGGAACTCCATAACATTTTAGGCCTACTTCAAGAAACAAGAAAAATCTCTAATAAACAATCTAACTTCACACTTAAAAGAACTGGGGAAAAACAACAAGCAAAACCCAAAATGAGTAGAAGGAAGGAAATAATAAAGATCAGAGCAAAAATAAACAAAATAGTCTTAAAAAATAATACAAAAGATCAATAAAACCAAGAGCCAGTTCTCTGAAAAGATAAACAAGACTGACAAACCTTTAACCAGACTCACCAAGAAAAAAAGAGAGGACCCAAATAAATAAAATCAGAAATGAAAGAGGAGAATTAACTACTGACTCCAAAGAAATACAAAGGATTGTAAGAAAACATTACAAACATCTATATGTCAATAAATTGGACAATCTGGAAGAAATGGATAAATTCCTAGAAACATACAATCTTCCAAAACTGAATCAGGAAGAATCAGAAAACCTGAATAGATAAATCACAACTAGTGAAACTGAAGCAGTAATAAAAATAAATAGATTAAAACAAAACAAAACACCAACAAATAAAAATCCTGGGTTGGATGGCTTTACAGATAAATTTTATCAAACATTCAAAAAAGAACTAATAACTATCTTTCTCAAACTATTCTAAAAAAGTCAAGAAGCAGAAAGACTCCCAAGCTCATTTTATAAGCCAGTTTATCCTAATTCCAAAACCAGATAAAGACACTATAAAGAAAGAAAATTTTAGGCCAATATCCCTAATAAACATAGATGCTAAAATCCTCAACAAAATATTAGCAAACCAGATCCAGAAATATATTAAGAAGGTCATACACCATGGCCAAGTGGGATTTATTCTGGGGATGAAAGGTTGGTATAATATCTACAAATTTATAAGTACAAATTTATATATATACATCATATAAACAAAAGAAAGATAAAAATCACATGATTATATCAACAGATGCAGGAAAGCGCTGGATAGAATCCATTATCCACTTATGATCAAAACTCTCAGGAGAGTGGGAATAGAGGAAACATATCTCAATGTAATAAAGTCCATATATTACAAACCCACAGCAACATCATTCCCAATGGGCAAAAACTAAGTGTTTTCCTTAGGATCTCGAACAAGACAGGGATGTTGGCTTCCATCACTCTTATTCAACATAGTACTGGAAGTCCCAGCAACAGCAATCAGACAAGAATAAATAAAAGGTATTCAAACTGGAAAGGAAAAACTAAAACTGTTATTATTTGCTGATAACATGATACTGTATGTAGAGAACCCTAAAGATTCAACCAAAAATCTACTAGAATTGACATATGAATTCAGTAAAGTAACAGGATACAAAATAAATACCCAGAAATCAGTTACATTTGTATACACCAATAATGAACTATCAGAAATGGAAACTAAGAAAACAAACCCATTTGCACTTGCCTCAAAAAAAATAAAATACCTTTAACCAATTTAAAAGACCTGTTCTCAGAAAATTTTAAGACACTGAAGAAAGAAACTGAAGAAGATACAAATAAGTAGAAGCATATACCATGTTCATGAACAGGAAGAATTAATGCCATA